GACAACGACCATCTCCTTTTCGATCTGCGCAAAGCGCTGTTCCGCCACTGTGAGCGCCCGACTGGGGGAATACACGGGTTTACCATTCCGCATTAGGACAACAACTATTCCGCATTGATTGCTGTCACACTGCACCTATAAGGGTAAAGTTGGATCATAGTAACTAAGTACTGGTGAACAGCTAATAAGACTCTTGATGGTCGCAAAGACTGCCTCCTGCTCTTCTCCCCAAATCCACTTTACATCTTTGTCAGCCAGTCTCCGGATGGGCGTCATGGTTTCAGCAAGTCTTGGCAAGAATCGGCTCAGATAACACACATGCCAATTAAACGACTAATAGCCTTGACGTCCTTAGGTTGTACCATCTCCTGCACTACCTTGATTTTTCCGGGATCGTCCCTCGGATGTCAAAAGGAGTCCGTGAAAAATAATCACTGGTGGTTTCTAGAGCTCAAGTTTCTCGCGATTGAGCTTTACGTTCTTTTGCACGCATCGCTGCAAAAAGTGGTGCAGATTGGAGTCATGTTCCTGTTCGGCTGAGTCGTAAATCAGTACATCGTCTGCCACACACGTCACACAGTCTAGGTCATCAACAGCCTGCAGTAAATGTTTTTGAAAAATTTCTCTTAAAACCTTCAAACCAAACGGTAAACGTAGCTAGCGAGAACGTCCGAACGGTGTAGAAAACGTCATCAGGAAACTGGATACTTCATCTAGAACCACATGCCAGAACGCCGATGAGAGATCAAACTTGGTGAAGTACTTCGCTTTAGCCAGAGGCGGCAGAATATCTAAGGTCGGCAGTGTATAGTGTTCTCTACAAAGCTTCATTCAACAGCTTAGGGTCTATGCACAGACGCAAATCAGCGCTCTTTTTCGTAACAATCGCGACTTGGCTAACCCAGTCTGTCGGCTCGTAGACCTTAGCGATTACGCCTAATCGCGTCAAGTTACTTAATTCGATGGCGAAATTATCACGTAATGCAAACGAAACCCTTCTAGCTGGCACCGCAATCGGTCGTACGTCCGGATCTAGTGACAAATGAACGAAAGCTTCAAACCTATCAAACCTGCACCAAACACGGATGGATACTGTTCACTAACATCAGTCTCCACTTCACATACATGCACAAAACGGTCATGGTTAAAATGAATAGATCCAAGACATTGGATGGAATCAATGTCGAGAATAGGCGTGAGCTCTTCCTCCACGACCGCGAAATCCAACTGATGTGAAGAACCATCTTTTGGATTGATCACTTTTACTGTGGCCAAACCTTTCGGCTGAAGCTTGGAACGGTTCCACATGCGCAGGACTCCCTGATCAGGTCCATGAATTCCTGGGCACCTCTTCGCTGGAATTATGTTTATGGTGACATGCGAGTCCAAATGTAAACGTATCATCTCGTTACCAACCAAGAAACTTGCATAGACGCAGTTTTTTTGGTTCTACCCGTGACACGTTGCTGATTTAATGTTTAGAGTCGGAGCGTGTTGTGTCACGACTGAGTGCATTCACCATGGAGGACTGACAAGCTTGAGTGGAATGATTCCGTCTGCCGTAGCTGGCGCAAATTCGGCCCTGCGCCGGACATTGATCCATTGGGTGTTGCGCGAAGCAGAATTTACAAGTTTATATATATATATATATATCCGACACTATACCAATTACAATATAATTGGCTGAGTGCCACAACACATAAGAAAAAAGGATAGCATGAAAGGGAAAACAACTGTTAGGGTAGAAGAGTCTCCCAGCAAGTGCGCCATTGCGTACGGTCCTTAAGCATATCCTCCAGCGTTTGCAACTAGGTGTGCTCGGAGTCCTTTGGTCCCCAACCCGGGAGTCGGGAACGCCCGACAACAGCCAGCTTCAACGTTTGCGCCTTAACATATTGTAAGTTTCGTATCTTGATAACAGACTTCGCAGTTTTTTCAGGTAAACTGGTTACGGAAACATAGCTCTACTTAAGTCGGCAACCGCATTTGCTGGATATGGTGCGTAGCTGATGATTCACTGGCATATATAAAGACATTGTCAGAGCGATAACTGCCGTTGTCACAACAGCCATTTAATGATGTTTTCTTCATTGATCCCCAGCACGATTCCATCTCGTACGAGACTGTCAGCCATACAATTGCAAAAAGTACAAGAACAAGTAAGGATCTTCAGATCCGTAACATAGTTCTCGATAGTTTATTCTGGGCGCCGGTTTCGGGTGAAAAAGTAATACCGCTGATAAGTCTCGTCAGTCTGGTTGGCAGGAATAACTGAATTTTCGGACGACAGTTTCCAGATCAGCTTGGTCTTCGCCCTTTTCGTACTGCATCGTTTCCAAGACGCGGCGTGCTTCATCTCTCATCGTATGTCTAAACAAGGCCAATCGATATGCCATCGGTTGTTCATTCAGCCGCACCAATACACAAAAATTGACTCAGTTGCTTTTCCGAATTCTCCAATTATTGGCCAGAGTTCGTTCTTCTATGTTTACTGGAGCAGGTGTTTGCAAAGCTGATTGAGCACCAATCAGCAACTGAGCACCATTGGGTGACCTTGGTTTGGTTTTCCCTGACACCATGTCACAGAACTCGTCCTTCAGGAACAATCGGTTTATTCAGCAAAGCGAGCTAAGCAAAAATGACAGCCTGACCAACAAGCAGGAACCTGAATATAAATAACTAAGTCATTTCTACAACTAACGACGATGCTACACTCATGAGATTCTTCCTTGGAATCAATTAAACAAACCTGCTCCAGCGAGCCGATCAGTGAGTATACGAAATATGTGTGGCTGTCTGATCAACTGCTCTGTTCGTATGCGGCACGCTTGCCTCTTACTTGCATAAGCCTATCGCACTCTCAAAAACGAGGAGGCAATAGAGTACTGCCAGCGTCAAACCGCTTGACAGCGAACTCTTTTCTACCGGAATCGACAACCGTCTTTGGAGTCCAAGTGCTCGACAATCTTCCTCGCGTTTGAGTGGAGTCTGAAATTTGGAGTACAAGGCTCAACAGCCTCACTGATTAATCACCTTGGACCATGCATTCCAAGTAGAGTTCGGATTCCGGTGGAAACGAGTTCGCTCAAAGCCTTCAAGCGATTTGTCGTTTAAATGTGCGGCTTAAGTGGCTTTCGGGTCAGGAATCGAACCGAGAAAGCATTATTGAGTACTGTAAGCGTGAAACCACTTGGAAACGTAGAGCGAACTCGTTTCCACCGGAATCAACAACATAAAAAGGAATCAGAGCGAGGGGATCATTGAAATGGACGAAGGTATCACAGAACAAGGAAGGAATTCGGGATTTAAAGTGAACATAATCAAATGTATATATATGTCTAGTTGTTATATATATATATATATATATATATATATATATATATATGTATAATCAAATATAGAAAAATTAAGTCTATAAATAGAGGAGTTATCACACTATTCCTCTGAACTGTTTCAGAACAGAAAGTAGAAAGGAAATTATAAAAAGGAGGTGAGAAATAAACGAGTACGAATGAGTAGGGGTTTGTGATACAAGCAACAGACTGCACATCAGAGTTAAATCCTCTTCAGATAGGTTCCCAAGGATCCAGAAAGTAAGTAGACTATCGTTCCGTCATATTGGGACTCGTCAGTAGTGTGCATTACCCGGACAAAGGAAATCGCAGAGGTAGCAGTTAATGCCACATAGGCACGGGTGACGGCGTCAGTCATGAATGATAAGCAAGCGACGATATAGCGCTGGTCATCCTCTACTGCCCGCGGCCTAGCGGCATAAGGCACTTCTTCGGTTCCCGGTGGAGCTGCATCTTATACACCACTGGTGCGTTTTAATAAGATGAAACGCCCGTCCACTACTTTTCCGGACGAGTGGGAACCAATCTGACTGGGGTTAATGGTGATGAACAATCAATAAATTCGGCAATAAAGGGTTTAATTGGATTTAGTTGTTTCAAAGACTGCTTTCCATTACATCCATTCCGTCGCCTTATCATCAAAATGAAGAGAACATACACGAGTTGTCAGTGCACCAACTTGCATGATAATCAGTGTGATGAAAAGAGAGAAACGCATATGAGGCACGGATAATTGAATAGATCCGTGTTCCGGAGGCACAGGTACCTCACTGTAGCAGTCTGTCATTATGCTGACTACACAAGGGCAACTACGTATCGAAAAGGCGCCAAGTGGCACGACAACAGCTGCTTTTCTAAAGTTGTACCATTTTTACTTTCCTAGCTTCGTTACAGAGACCGAGCGAACAAAACCAAAAAAGCAAAATTGTTCTGTTGTTGCTGCTCATTGTGTACTTTGCTCTTAATACCGCGGCAGTTCCTATTGCCACTGACCACTCGAAATCACTCATAGTGCTCTTTGTCGGCCGTTGGCTGAAAAGGTTGCTTGTTTGTATAATGAACCTGAAATCGACGTTCGAGTCCGCGTAGGTGCGGGAGACCACACGATATACCCAGCCCTCGCGCGACTGGTGGAGATCGCGTGTCAGCGAAGCGTCGGCACGGTGCTGGCCTTACTGAAGCTTTCCTTTCAATTAGAGTTGTGCAAAAGCTCGAACCACATAGAACGGTCTAATGTGATGCTTAGGTATGCCCACATACAGCACTCGAAGGATAGTAACGGGCATTAACTACATGTCCATTCAACGTCTGGGGTGACGTAAGAACTCAGAAGGTAGAAGAAAGCTGCAGTTTTGTTGCCAGATTCAAAAGTAAATATAGGTTGCGTGATAACAGGAACGACGGGTTTGATATGGTTGTAGATAACAGAATAAAACCGTAAGCTTGTAATGGTACGATGCTTGCGAAGTATGGTAAAACTTTTGAGTTTCGTGTTCTAATCTCAAAAGCCTGTCAGAAAAAGAATTAGGTCTGCAGATAATGACTCCAAAACGTACACGCAGTTGCTCTTACGGTAGCATAGAAATGCAGCACCAGTTATCTAGGCGGGGATAAATGGGGAAAGAAGCAGTAAACGAAAAAGATTACCTTGATACTGAATATCACTTTTCTGGTAATTTCGTTAGCATCCTTAGGAGGCAGAAGTTTCAGATAGCTTTCTTGTTGAGCCACACGATCGCAAATTTGCTTGAAATCAGCAGACCAATCAGAATACATAGCCACAAAAGAACAGAGAGCAGAATATTAATAGCACCATAAAAGAACGGCAGTCGAAACCTTGAAAAAGAACAGAAGGAAAATACGGGCTAATGCGAACGCTTGAAGAAAATGACGCATCATATATAAATACATATATAATAGTAATTGGCCAAAAAGCAATACGATAGGCAGTTCCACAAGATACAGATAAATACAATGACTATAGGTGAGAAAAGATGTAAAGAATTAATCATGGGAGTAAAGTTTCACATATTCACCAATGAGTGGATTTCTTGTCATGTCCAAGGGGGTTTCCAGTCTGGCATATTCGTGGTCTTTGCGCTACAGCCCCGAAGTTAGGAGCGCCAGACCAAGACCAGCTTAGAGTTTGCGCATTCACGCTAGAACTCAAGTACTTCGTTGGCTACCTCACGTAATTAACGTGCCAGGTGGTACGGTGAGGTATACATGGAGCTGGTATGTGAAGCACATGCCCAAATCACCGGAGTCACCGCAGCGAAAGAATGCAGCTCGGTGGTGTGTAGTGTTTGTCTGGTTGGAAAATCCCTCATCGAATGTCATCAGTACAAGTCTAATGTTGTCATCGCATAACAGCAATGCTCCGAAGGTATCGGAGATCAAACCCAGACATTATCTGAACATATTTTGTGCAGATAGTCTCGCATATAGTATCACAACCTCTAGAGCATGACCGCTTTCATGAAGGTATTATAGACACGACCCCTCAAACAGCCATTCAAGTCGCGTCGAGGCCAGGGGTGGCGGAGATTACCAAGTGACATGACAGAACAGAAAACGGCATGTTAAGATCAAGTGATAACGAAACATTCCCCAGATCAGAAAAGAACGTGAGCATATCGAATTTCCATAAGCTTGAAAGCTAACAGGCAGGCTAAAATTAAACTGCTCCCAAACATGGTGAAAAGATTTCATTGGTTCAATGGTGAGTAGAAAACAAAAGAGGAGACGCTTGTCCGCTCCGTCGATTCCGATTCAGTGCAGGTTTGACGCACTTGACTGCGAAGCGGCATTCCTCTGGGGATCGTCGCCGTTGCAGGGGGAGCAGCAGAACCCTGCCGTACTTATCATATGGCAGTCAAGCAGCCATTTGAAACTTTCCTCTACTGATGCATCAGTAACGATCTCCGGTAGGCTGTTCCAATCATTCACTACACCAATTGATAGGGCAGTTTCTGGACGGATGTGAAGTAATCGGCTCTTGTCGAGAAGTTCGTCTCCATGCTGCACTCTCTCTATAGTCTGACCTCGGGCAGGATTAGGGCTTATGGCAAGCTTTCGCCTACCTTTGTGATCTCCAGTGGAATTCGACAAGGATGCCCTATCTTTCCGTTCCTATTCAACTTTGTCATTGAGGATATCCTGAAGAACGCTCTGGGCGATTCGTTGAACGCTGGCGTTGAGCTCCTCACAGGTAGTCGAGTTGTTGAGTTGGATTATGCTGATGATATCGTCTTGCTGGCTGACGATCCACAGGTCGTTCAACTTGCACTAAACCGATTGACGATTGAAGCATCAAAGTATGGGATGTACTTTTCGCCATCCAAATGCAAGGCTCTCTCCCAAGACTGGCAGGTGCCGCTGTCTGCACTCACTCTTGGTAGTGAGGCACTAGAGATTGTGGTGAACTTTGTCTACTTGGGAAGTTGCATCACTGCTGGCGGGGCTATTGGAGACGAGATTTCGATGCGCATCTCGAGAGCACGACTCGCTTTTTTTAGGCCGAGGCACTTGTGGCGTCGCCATGACATTCGTCTCACTTTGTTCTCAGTTTGTGCCGTTTAAA